TGCTTAACGACTGAGCCACCCAGACACCCCAACAAAGATGTTTAAAATTGAGTTAAACTCTCTATACAAATGTAATTTTTTTTTAAAGATTTTATTTATTTATTTGACAGATAGAGATCACAGGTAGGCAGCGAGACAGGCAGAGAGAGAGGAGGAAGCAGGCTCCCTGCTGAGCAGAGAGCCCGATGTGGGGCTTGATCCCAGGACCCTGGGATCATGATCTGAGCCGAAGGCAGAGGCTTTAACCCACTGAGCCACCCAGGCGCTCCTACAAATGTAATTTTTAATACAAATGTGATTTTTAGGTCCCATTAAAAAAGAGGAAGAATTTTTCCAGGAGCCCCTGTTTGGAGAGGCTCCCAGTGTTTTAATAAATGGGTTCCTATTCATGTTGGGCCTACATCAGGGAAAATTTCTTCTAAAATTTGTAGTAGGACATTCCTACTACAGACTTACTGCTTATAGGGTAAGAGTTGGGGCCTTTGGAGCCAGGCTAATATATAGATTTGTTGCAGAAAAGCTGAGCAATATCTTGGGCAAGTTACTTCAAACTCAGTTGGTTTCTTGGTTTTCTTTCTTTCTTTTTTTTTTTTTTTTTTTTTTTTTTTTTGCAGTTTAATAACTTTATTTGTAATCAGCAACTAGTTCTCATCCACATCATCTGTCTGTAGTTTTTTGGTTTTTTTTGTAGATTTTTGAAAGTGGTGACAGGTACACAGGAAACCTGAGTTTGGTGGGTCTTCAGTGTCATTACATTTTCTGGACAACAGCGTGCAGATAGGGGATGAGATAGTCCTTATGCTGTTGGCCCTCGGAGCTTTGTTGCATTTGGTATCAATGCACCCATCTAAAGTCCCCATTTCCCTCGTGGCAAATTCCTGGATCTCTCTGAATACCCACTTGACATCCACTCCACGGATGCACTTGTGAACAATGATGGTGTGTTGGTGTATTCTCTGGTCACCTTGGTGGTGGCGGAACGGCCCTTCACCTTGCCATTCTTCTTTATGGGAGCTGGTCTGTCTGGCCCATGTTACAAATGCTCAGCTTAGTTTCTTAATTGCAAATGAAGTCAATAGGGTTGTATGGAAGATAAGATAAGATATTACAGGGTAAGCACTTAGCTCATAGCTGATACCTATTGAACCTAACAAATGCCTATTACGGCAGAAACAGTGATGGCCCAGGACATCCCACATTGATGTGACATAAGCATCTCTTTCACTGGTGCTTTGGTAAAGATTTCTGACCTAATTTTCCTGTGAACAAATTTTTCTTTAATTGCATTGTTGTGAATGCATTCTGATGTTCTCTTACAGTACTGACATGGAAACTAGTTTCATTGCCTTATTTTATCTTCTTACCAATTGTTTTCCAAAATGTATAAGCAGTGATTCTTTTCACTGCTAGATTCATACCAAATTGTGTTTTGTCTCCATTCGGATTTTTTTCTTCATTCCTTTTCATTCAAGCCCAGATAAAACTGCATTTTAAATCATGCCCACGTATGTGTAAAGTCTCATCTGACTAGCTCCATCATGTGTCTATAATGAGTTTTACAATTTTAAAAGTTGTTTTCATTTCATTGTTACTATGAGCTCGAATAACAAAGAATATTGGGTAATATATTGACGAGTCCTCTTAAAAATAGGTGTAAATCAAGAAAATTGGAAAGGCTTTATAAAGCAAGAATTTTGGGGGGGGCTGCAATTTTGCCAAAAACTTAGGGTGATCATAATCTATCATTCAAATTATCAGGCCATTTTGGGAATGCAAGAGGGGTTCCATTAATTATTTCACTGAGATAAAGGCATAAACTAGGACTCTCCCAGGTAGACCAGGGCATAGAACTGACAATTTATCTTCCTAAGATGGGGAAGGAGCGGGAAGGGCTTGAACAGATTCTTTGTGAAATGAGAGTCTCTATCACATGCTCATACTCTATATTCTACGTTCAAAGTGTGAATTATGGGTTCTGCTTTGAGAATCCAAGCTCTGCCCTTACAATATCAGACTCAGTTCTAATCCCTATATTTCAAGAAAAACACAAAGACAAAGATCCAGGAAGGCATAACTAACGTGATCAAGAGCTATGGGTCTTAATAATATTTTGACAGTTCCAGCATCTTTGAGAATTTGATGAAAGCTATTAACTCTCCCTGATGGAAAGGGCATACACAGAAGACCCCAAGATTTGGCATATACTTCAGAGGGTAGCAATCTGTCTAATCCTACATGAACCCACATCTGGATCCTTAACCTAGAATACATGGCAGGTGGCAGGAGAAAGGAACCAATATTCGTTGGCCATCTTTATACATATTTCATTTCACATGCACATCAATCTATTTTATAGATAAGGGAACTGAAGTGCAGAAAGATTACTACCTCACAGCTAGTTAAGTGACAAAGCCAGACTTCAAATTCACTTTTATGTGCCACTAAATCTTATAATCCAAGTACTGCTTAGACACACAATTTCTTTTTTTAACTTGGTTCCATGCCCAGCATGGGGCTTGAACTCACGACTCTGAGATCAACACCTGAGGACTCAGCTGCTTAACCGACTGAGCTACACAGGCACTCCACTATACAAATTAATATATACATTTATATTTCAATCTGGAAAAGAATTCTATTACAAAATCATGAAAAATGAACACATGCATATATCTTCATCAGAGTCCCACCTACTAGAATTACCTCTGAAAACTGGAACAAGATTATTAGGACAAATAAAAGTAAGCATTTAGGGGTGTCTGGGCGGCTCAGTCAGTTAAGTGTTGGACTCTTGATCTCAGGTCAGGTGTTGATGTGAGTTCAAGCTCTGTGTTTGGCTCCATGTTGGGTATGGAGCCTACTTTAAAAAAAGAAAAAGAAAAAAAAAAGTAAGCATTTAAAAAAAGATCTCAAATGTTAATACAAATGGCATTTAGTATCAAGAAAGTTTTAGATCAATCCAAGACTGATACATTGTTGATGGATTCTTAAAAGATTTTTCAGTGTCTCATTGTACCCCTGCTTTACTGGGAAAACAACCACATCTTTGCCTATCTCCCTTGAAGCCCATGTCAATCCGATTACTCATCAGGGTTGACTGTGGATGGGATGCTGGCTTAGGCAATATGTCATTTCCCACCTAAGCAGTGCTTCTTGTATAATTGGTAAGCTCCAATATTCCTTTTGGTAACCTCTGTTCATTAGTTCCTAAGATACCTGATCATATTCTGGCGTGCCCCTGAAATGTGGAATCAGTTTCCCTGGGAATTTGGTGGGTCCTTCCCAATGCCTAGTACAGAGTGAGTGCTCAATAGATGTTTTGCTGTTTCCTGTCCAGTTTGTACTAGGTCGCTGCCAGATGAATTCCCTAACCCAAAATGTAGCTCCTAGTATGGAAGTTCCTTGCGCAAAACCACTGTTGCTTTTCATTATATTTGTACCTTTCCTATAATTATTTATTGTTTTAATATTATCTTCTGGGGCTCCTGGGTAGTTCAGTTCGTTAAGCGTCCACCTTTGGCTCCGGTCATGGTCTCAGGGTCCCAGGATCGAGGCCCGTGTTGGGCTCTCTGCTCAGTGGTGAGTCTGTTTCTCCCTCCCCTCTGTGATCTGTTTTGCTTTTTTTCTCTCTCAAATAAATAAATAAAATCTTAAAAAAAAAATATAACTATCTTCTGTCTTGCTCCTTCCCAAATTGTAAGCTTGGCAAGGGAAGAAACCACTGTGCTCATGGTTGCTGTGCTGACCTATAGTAGGCATTCAATCATATCTATTGCCTCACAGCATGGATGATTACTACAAGAATTTAAGAATGTAGTCAACATGATTTTCTTTCAACTTTAAAATGGAGATAAAATTTGCATACCCTTCTATAAGGTATAATTCAGTGTCTTTCAGTATATTCACGAAGTTGTGCAACCATCACCACTAATTCCAGAATATTTTCATCACCCCAGTAAGAAAACGCATACCCATTAGTAATTTCTCCCATCCTCCTCTCCTCCCAGCCCCTGGCAATCACTAATTTACTTTCCCCTTGGATTTACTTATAGATATAGATTTTCCTATTCTTTACTCTTAGGTAAATGGACTCATATAATATGTGGTCTCTGTGCTTGGTTTCTTTCACTTAACATAATGTTTCCAAGGTTTAGTCCATGTCGTGGCCCGTGTCAGCACTTCCTTCCTTTTTAAAGGCTGAATAGTATTCCATTGTATGGACATACCACATTCTGTTTAGCCATTCCAGGCAAGATGATTTTTAACATCCATACCAACTCTAGGATCCTAGATCAAGTGAAGACCTACCACCAAAGTTCATAAAGTAAATCACAATAAATCATAATGCTTCATACTTTCTCTAAGCCAGAAGTTTTCATTTCTTACCTACCACAGATCCTGGGAGGACAGTCATGTTGTAACCCACCAAGATTACCTTCTGAATGCTTAAAACAATAAGACCGCATTCTCTACCTTATTTCAGGATTCTTCCCCCCACCTCCAATGTCCTCCTCACTGCCCACTTGATGCCTTGAAACTCCATATTCTGGAATAATTTGCCTTTGCAGGTATGGTTGTACAGCTAATTGTTCTCAACAGATAGGGTTGACTGAGGTGGGTGGGTGCTTTTTCCCTCACTTATCTTTCTCCTGTCTCTCTGTTCACTGCAGTGCAACTTTTTCACCATTCAAAAGTCCCCAAGAGAGAGACAGAGGGGGGAAAAAAAAAGAAAAAAAAATCCTTCCTTTGTTTTCCAAGGAAATTCAGGTAAAAGGAGGGGTAGGGGAAATGATATTTTTGACTTTCCTCACAATCCAGACATTGGAAAGAAAAAGGATTTCCTTTGGGCTGCAGCCACGACTCTGATCTTTTATGCTGATAAAATATTTCCTTCTTTAAAAAAAAAAAAGTTATGGCAAAATCATACCACTTCGGCTTGGAAGCCACACCTACCGTAATTTTCGCGTTTTTAAAAAAAAAAGAGAGAGAGTCTTACTCACTTTCACGGAGGGTTTTGCACGGTTGAGGTCTTGCACCCGGGAGCGAGCCGGGTCAGCGGCGCTCCTTTGGAAGCTAGCGTGGAGGACTACAGGATCCAGAGGTCTTTGGAAACTCCAGCAGCTCCAAGCTTGTTGGCTACCACGGTTTCCCCGAGGAGTGACGCTGTGAAAACAAACCGTGATTGGTCAGGCCTGAGCTGAATTCTCCATTTATGGACAGATTGCCCAGCCCGAACCGAGGCTCTGCCGAAGGAGTACAGAGTAAGTGGCTGAAGAAAGAAGAAGCGAGCCTGGGCAGCCAGGCAGACGCGCGGAGAGCATCGGGCTCACCTACGCGGGTTGCGAGCGCCTGGTCCGAGTGGACCCCTGCCTTTGACAGGATGTGCCCCGTCTGCTAAGTCGCCTCCTTCTCGCCCTTCACCTAGCGCCGCCGATCCCGCCTGGATGGAGTCCCCCCAGGGTTCCCATTGGCTCCTGTGAGTGCTTGGGTGTCGAGAGCCTGTTTTTGGCGAAGGGGACCAACTTTTGAAGTTCGCCCAGGAGTCTGCGATCCAGCCCCAGCTCCCTGGCAGCCGGACCGGGCAGAGGAGGGACCGCGGCGCGAGTCACCATGGTGAGTTGGTCGCGCGGCGTCCCGGGACGCCTGACCCTGGGATGGGGCAGGAAGCGCCGGCGCGGGGTACCCACCTTGGGCGCGCAGCCCAGGCCAGGGGTGGAGAAGGTGGACGCGGGAGTCGGCACGTCGCGAGCTCTGCCCGCCGCTTTCCGTAAACCCTGGCCAGGGGAGAGAGAGCGAGGGGGCCAAGGAAAACTTTCTTTCAAGTCTCTCTGGACGCCGCGAAACTTTTTGTGGCCGGGTTGCTATGGCTGCCAGCTGTCGGAAGCCAGCGTGTGGGCAGCTCTGAGCTCCGGGGCGCGGCCCTCGGAGGGGACCCCTCTCTTCCTGCGGGGCCGGTGGGCAGCGCCCGTGCCCCTGCGTTCCCGCCCGCGGCGGCCCGGATCGCGGCTCTGCCGCGCGGCCGCCGGCTCGCCGCGCCCCCTCCCCTGCGCGCCCCGCGTTCCCCTCCCCGCCGGCGGGCACGGGCGCCGGCTGCCTCCCCGCCTCCCCGCCTCTCCGCCCCCTGCGCCGCCCGCAGTTGTCCCGCCCGGCTGCCGCACGCTGGCGGGGGCGGAGCGGGCCGCACAAAGGGCGGCGGGGGCGCCAGGTAGGACGAGCACCTGGAGCTGGGCGGGCGGCGGAGAGCGAAAGTGGCGCAGCCGGCAGCCTCGCCGGCCTGGACTTCGCGGGGCGCGGGCCCGTTGCGTCTCTGCGCCCGAGAGGCCGAGTAAACACCCCCACCCCCCGCCCCCACCCCTTCCCCGAGGGCGAGGTGACTGGCGCTTCTTGGTGTACCGCGAACCGGTCGCCCGGGAGGAAGTCGAGTGTTTTGTTCTTTTTCCTTTGGCACTTTGGGAATACAGGGAAGTGGCTGACTTTTTCTCCGACTGGCTTCTGACTTTTCCTCTCCCCGCCCCCGAGAGCCCCAACTCCGCCCCCATTAACCTGAGCCGCATCCCCCCCGGGTCTCGGTGGGGTGTACGTTTCTTCCCGAAGCACAAAAGCAAGGACTCGGTTTTGAAGAGATGGACAGTCCATCCGAGAAAGAAAGAAAAAAAAGTTCTACTACAAGCCTTCATAGTTTCCACACTTGCTCCTTTTCAAAGAACCCTGCTTGGGTAGATGGCCTGATCCCCTTCTGGTTTGTTTTGTTCCGTTTTAATGATTGTGAATGTGGAGTTAAGTCAAAAACGGTAACTAGTACAACATCAATTTAAAAAAAAATCTGCCCTGCATGACCAGCCTGAGAAATGTAGCAAAGGCCCATGCGAACGTACGGTCGAAACTCAAAAGCAGCTCTAGACCCAGTGCTGTTTATGAATAAAAGAATGCTTAAAAACGAAAGTCTTTAAAAGGGCATCTTTGACACAAGCTTTTTCTTTTTATGTAGTCCAAAATTGTGTCACTTCTGCTCCTCCCTAAGAGGACACTTTATCTGTAAATAAAATGTGCTCCTTAAGTTTCAGGTTTTAAGAAGTCAGTCTAACCTACATTATTTTTGGAACCCCTGGGAGAGAATCATTTACTTATACTCAGTGTGTGGTTGGGTGGAGGAGCGCCCGAATTGGGCCACTACCTAATTGGCTGCTTGAATCTGAGCAATGTGATAGTCCTGGTACTTTGGAATTGCTATCATTATTTTCTGTGGGTCAATATTTCTAAAAAAAAAAAAAAAAAAAAAAATCAATGTGTTTATGTCAAGAGCTTCAAGAAACTTAACTGAATTCAAATACTTGAGAGCTACCTTGAGAAAATTAACTTTCCCTTAGTTAATTCATTTTTCTTGCTGGACACACTACCAAAGTAGTCTATAATGCCTTTTCTGGAGACCTCGGAATCTCCATGCTCAGTTCAGCTGCATTGCTTTTGAAGGTGGTTGATCAAATGGGTGCAGGGGAGGCATGTTAGAAGGAAGAGACTTGTTGCCAGACTTGTGTAATGTGTCTATGGGAGGACAGGGTGTGACTTACCTATTGATGGGTTCCCTGCCAACAGCGCAGATGGCCCCGTTGAGGGCAGCCAGGCGACTATCAGCGCATCAGAAAAAAGTTGAAACAGCTGCTGTCCTGAAATCGGAGATTTGCCATCGCTCCATCTACTAGATGTAGAGTAGCATGGCAAAAATGAAATGAATCGCTTCTTCCCTGGCTTGAGAGATTGTTCATTAGCTATGTGAGGTTGTCTGAGAACAGAGCATCACCCATCTTAAACAGAAACCTCAGTTATACTGTTTACTGTTTATATAAGATGCTTTCAAGCCAGATGAGGCTGCATTTTGTGTTTCACATCTGTCTGGGTCTGCCCAGCTGCATCCTTCAGATGCTCAGAACAGGAAGAGAAGGGGCATTGCCTTCCGTGGGTGTGGCTGAGGCTTAGCATGGAGAATAGAATTCCTCGGGCCCTTGACAGGGCTGTAGGGAGAGCACCTGTACTGTTGTTTGCGGGTTTGTGTGTGTGATCTTTTAGGAAGTCTGGTGGCACATGAGGAAGACTCTCCACTTGTCCCCACAGCCCTCCCAAGACTCATTCAATTGTGACTCATAAGGAATATTGTCATTTTCTGACTCATGAGCACAATATCCAGCTTATAGTTCACCTCCTGTCTCTTTCCTAAAAGTTCACTTTGGACCACTTTTCTCCATCTTTGGAGAAGCAACAACACTACCCGGCAATATAAATTTGTACCTTTTTCCATAGGAGACTTGAAGAGCTGAAAAAAAAAAAAGTCTCTGCCTGCCTTTATAATTCAGTGTACCTTGGTTAGGAGGGTACAGCAGTCTCCTTTGTCTTTTTTTTTTTTTTTTAAGATTTTTATTTATTTATTTGACAGAGATCACAAGCAGGCAGAGAGGCAGGCAGAGAGAGAAGGAGGGGAAGCAGGCAGAGAGCCTGATTCGGCGCTCGATCCCAGGACCCTGGGATCATGACCTAAGCAGAAGGCAGAGGCTTTAACCCACTGAGCCACCCAGGCGCCCCTCCTTTGTCTTTAATTAATAATCACACCCTACTAAGATTTCCTTTGTCGTGTGTGGCTTTATCATTTACAAGGGAAGTTCTGCTTTGTGGCCATGACGGTTTGAATGGTCTAATAAGCTAGAGCCCATGTCTGTAGCTCTGCCATATACTTTGGATGCAGAAATTATTATTCATAGGGCTTCTCTGAAGTTAAATATACTAAAATATTTAAGTAAGTCTGAATTGGCCATTCCTTCAGACTGTGGTCAGGTCACATTCCTTTTTCCTCACTTACGTAGTACTTGGGAGTGAATTGCACATGTTACTCATAAAAAGTACACAGGAATAGACCTAGGAACTTAGAAATCTGTCAGATAGCTGACTGCAACGTAGGTAAGTTCCTTTGGGTGAAGGCAGGGCGTGTATTTAGAAAGTCTGGAATCGATTTCAAATATGTTTTCTGGGAAGGTAACCTAGTCCATTCCCACTGATTAGTTTATCAGATTTCCTAATAGTTTCCGGGCCAAAACGACAGAATACAAAACCAAAACAAAACAAAAAATTGGGTTGAAGTACAGAGAAGTTTTTTGTGTTTTTTTTTTTTTTTAAGATTTTATTTTTAAGTAATCTCTACACCCAACACCGGGCTGAAATTTATAAGCCTGAGATCATGAGTTGCTCTTTTGATCGGAACCAACCAGGCATCCCCCCAAAAGTACTGATGGACGCGGTGGGGTTAGGGAAAGAGCTGGAGTTCACGACATTACCTAGGGGCCAATGTGAGTTGGCCAGCCTCATGGAAGAAGTTTGATTGATGCGACACATGAAGGGAAAGCCAGCGGAGCCGCAGATGGAGAGGGATAAGAAGTGGAGGAAGCAGATAGTTGGGGAAGGTGAAGGCCGCCTCCCCCACACTCTTGCTAGGGATTTCAGCGTTGTGAGTGGTTGCAAACACAAATATCTACAGGATACAATTTTTGTCGGGATGAGGCTGGCCCCTAGAGAGCAAATATGCTCCTCTAAAAAAGGCATCATTACTTGACCTTAGGTCATGGTTAGTTGTGTCTACCAGTTATGGTTAGATCGGCCATATTATATATTTCAAGGGAAGCTGGAAATCCAAATTGTTCTGCCGGACTTGCTAATTTTTCAAGTGTTCTGGCCATTGCTGAGAGGCCGAACACCTGCAGGTCAGCTGTTAGCAGCCACTCTATTGTAAATCTCAGAATGGTATCCCTGAGAACCACATGCTTCCTTCCATTCACCCACCAGCAAGACCGTCTAAACTTTGGCTCTATACCAGTAATGGTGTTTTATTAATACATCCACACCTTCCCACTGGGTTTCCCTTAAGAGAGGGAGTTGCCTGGTGTTTTCAGCACATGGAACCTCCAAGCTATCAACAGGGAAAATCTGCATCCAGATTCAGAGCTATCTAAACACCAGTGTAGGTATGTAAGTTGTGTGAGTGGTGAGGCT